GTCCCATCCCATACCTAGCAGTTGTCCTTGAGAGAAGCCTAGAGTTGTGATTTTGATTGCCACTGCCTTATTCCATGTAGACTGAAATTCATCTCTCAGAGTTAATGGAGCAAGGCCACATGTTGAGAAAGACAGATGCAGCCAATAATTGAGGGTGGCTGTCCACACTCTCGCCTCCACTCTCACAAGGCCTGTCTCTAATCGCAGGGTGGCGTTTGAGACACATCTGGGGACCTGCATCGCCGATCTTAGAAATTTTGATTGTACTTGCTCCAGAGGGGCATAGTTTGTGAAGGGACCAAGTTGGGCTCCATACATCATTTGTGCTATGGATTTTGCCTCAAAGAGCTTAAGTGCAGCTGGTAAGTAGTGGCCTCCTCCCATTTTGAGGAACTTTAGGATAGCATATGAGCTCTTTTGTGCTGCCTCTGCTACGTAATCCACATGTACTTTCTTGTTTCCAGTGCAGTGATAGAATACTCCCAGGTATTTAAAGCTGGAGACCTGTTCAATATTGTGTCCATCTAGTCTCCAGGTATGATGCTTGGGTCGTTTCGCAAACACCATAATTTTGGTTTTTTTATAATTAAGATGAAGCTGTTCTTCATTACAGTATTTTGTTAAGGCTCTCAAGGCTCTTTTCAGGCCTACTTGAGTTCTGGATAGTATCACTGCATCGTCTGCATAAAGCAGGGTAGACACGTGTCTTCCTGCCAGTTTTGGTGGGTGGTAGTCCAAGTTGTAAAGGTGTTCCACCATGGAGTTGATATAAAAGTTAAATAGAAGTGGAGCCAAAGTACATCCCTGCTTGACACCTTTCTCAGTTTCAACGGCCCTAGTGAGATGACCTTGAGGGGTACATCTTATTTTCAATATGGTCCCTTCATGTAGTATGCGAATTAATTGCAATAGTCGTCTATCTATGGAGGTGGACCCAAGTTTTTCCCATAATTTGATACGAGAGATAGAGTCAAAAGCTGCTCTAAAGTCTATGAATGCAGCATAGAGGGAAGATGTTCTCTGGGAGGTATATTTTTCTATAAGATGCTGTAAAACTATGCACTGGTCAATGGTGGACCGACCTTCCCTGAAGCCGGCTTGCTCCTCCGCAAGTATGTTTTCTTGTTCCATCCAGTCCAACAATTTCCAATACAGATGCCTTGTGTATATTTTACTAATGGTATTAAGGAGGCTAATGGGCCTGTAGTTTGCTGGATCGTCCTGCCTGCCTTTTCTTTTGTATATTGGTACAATAATTGCCAACCCCCAATCCTTAGGAATTTGGCCATATTTATCAATACAGGTAAATAAAGATGCTAGGATAGGGGCCCAGAAATCCAAATTGTTCTTAATGACCTCGGGTGGGATTGCATCCTCTCCTGGTGCCTTTCCCGCTTTTAGTTGGGCTACTAGTCTCTCTATTTCTGCGGTGGTCACAGGTGGCCAGGTAGGGAGGTTTTCCATTGACGTATTAGAGCAAGAGTTTATGCCCGCATTGTCTGAATAGGTGTCCCTGTATAGCTCTTGGAAGTATACTTCCCATCTTGCTGGCAGGATTTGGGAGTCAACTGCAGTTCGGTCCCAGCTTCGTATGTTAGATGTAATGCGCCAGAAGGTGGTTGTGTCCTTTGCCTTAACAGCTTGTATGAGCCGATCCCAGTTGTTTTTCATAGCCTCTCTCTTCTTGTGGGTTAGTAGTTGTTTGTATTGTCTCTTTTGCAGCAGGAGATCTTGTGCAGCTGTTGGGGTAGGATTGAGTTTATAGCTCTGATAAACAGTGGAGAGGGCTTTTTTAGCAGAGAGACATTCCTTATCAAACCATGTTTGTGATTGTTGATATGGTTGCTGAAGTAGCTGTGTCCCCTCTGTATTATTGCCCTGGCGTAACTGAATTTGGAGCTCTTGGACAATGTTTCTGTAGGTTTCCATGAGTACATTGGGAGTTTCTGCAGAGATCAGAGAAGTGCGGAGGCTCGTAAGCCGCTCTGTCACCAGCAGGTCTGTTATTCTTTGATTCATGTGTGGGGTCCACTTGACTCGCTTATAGGATCCTTCTGTCGGCTGTATCGAAGATTTATAGGATTCCGTTAAATGGATTTCCTGTGGGGGAAGATGTAATTGAAGCAGAACTGGAAAATGATCACTCTCAGGTTTAGACATAACTTTAAGAGTTTTAGCATAGGGGATAAAATCCCTAGAGATTGCTATATAGTCAATCGTGCTAGTTTTTTCACCTGAGAGGAAGGTGAATTCACCTGGATAATCTCCTTTCAGCGCCCCATTTAAGATGTGAAGATTTAGCCTATATGTTGTTCTGGCTAAGCATAGGCCTGCAAAATTCGATTTCTGGTCTTTGGACCAACGGGGCAGAAGGGGTTCTTCATCCTCACAGGCTGGTGGTGGGCAGTTCTGCTGCTTATAGAGAGAGAGGTCATCTGGGCCCATCCTTGCGTTAAGATCGCCTCCCAACACTATAGATGCATCAGGATTCTGCATTATAAGGTCCTCAACGTAGGATTCTAGCTCCATCCATGCAGCTTTAACTTGGGCTTTTTTCCTCATAGGGGGTATGTAGGCATTTATTATCAGCACTTTATGGTTAGTAAGTTGGATTAAGATGGCCATGGCATTTGACATTAGCGGGGGAAGAGATGTTACCTTTACCCATAGCTTGTTGGAGATTAGGATTGTTAAACCTCCTTTGGCTCTCCCATATCTATTTGGGGGTTCTGCCTTTGTTGAGTAGGCTTGGAATCCATTACTTGATATATAATCTACTGCCCAGGTTTCCTGCATTAATATGATATGGTGCTGGGCTAGGTAGTCTAGGAAAGAGGGATCTTTTATGGAGGACTTCCACCCTGCAATATTCCATGTCAGAATGCTGAGTTTATTCTTGCCTGGTGGTGTAAGCGGTGGAGGTTCTGATAGTCAATTTATATCTGCAACTTGTGCGATGCCACCAATGTCCCCAGTGAACACACAGTTGTTGTAGGGGTCTCTTTTCTTTTTGGAGTGTTGTCGATGAGGCTGTTCTTCCGTAATAGGTTTGTTCTGTTTTAGCGTTGGCAGTTCTGGTACCAGGCACTGTACTGGGGTCAAGGTGGCGACCTCGTTCTCCTCCTTATTCAGCATCAGTATGTTGTTGGCAGGACCCGTTTCCAGGCTTACCTCGATTAGGCAGGTAGTGGATTTGGAAGGTGCATTGTCACTAATGGAGTGGGGTTTGGTTGGGGCTTCGATTGATGCTGTTGTAAAGATTCTAGGTGGAGAATTGGCACTGGGGTTGGACAGCGCAACACAGTTCCCAGGGGTCTCGTAGTCCAGGGTAATTAGATCTGCAGTTTCAGGATCATGGGTTTCAATATCCATAGAGTAGTCCTTAGAGGGTTTTTCCAAATGTAGGGCCTGCATCTCAGGAGTGTATCCCTTTAAGCTCCCTGTGCTCTGCTGAGAGTGTTTGACTCTGGAGATGAGGGGAACAATCCTGTTATTGAGAAACACTCGGCTTGGGAAGAGGCCTTTTGCTGCAAGATTAGATCTTAAGCGCAGCAGTAGTGAAGGTATATGTTCTGAGGAGAAGCTTAGTAGCACCCTTGTATGATGGTAGTCAGAGCTCAGGGTTTCTACAGAGTGGAGATCGATTTGTTTCACTTCTCTTTTCAGCAAATGTTGCAGATGTCTTCTAGAGTGGTAGATGTTGTTCCAGGGGGGAAGCATTCCTCTGTAGTGGCAAACTGTTAGGCAGACTTTTTTAGGTGAAAGTACCAGTTTTGAGGAGTTTGCTATCTTATGTAAATGTAAAATAGGCTCTTTGCAGTTAGGTTTTTTTGAGGCTGAATCACAAGTGGTCTGTCTCAGTTGCTTTCTTTCTTTCTGGGTTGTGATAATGGAGTCAACTTTGAGGTTGAGTTTGTTGTATAAATGCTCAACAGTGGTAGCAACCAGTTGGAGCATGTGAGAGTAGCTTGTCTCACCCACTAGCTCAGATGTTTGAACACTTTTGTCTTCTTTGCTGCTATGCTTGTTACTATTGTTGTTTGGGTTTTTAGGAGCACTCCCTTTGTGCTCTTTCAGACTCTCATTTTCCCCATGTTCCCCAATTTCTCTTTCTGCAAGAGCCGAGAAGCGGTTTGAACAGAAGTCAGAGATTCTCTTTTGTTTGGGTGTAGGAGCTGACGGGGGAGTATTATTTTCTGCTTCTCTCAAGCGTTTCTTTCTCCTCATGTTGTTGCTACTGGGCTTATTAGCTTATCAGAAACACAGAGTGTTTGGTCTAGTCCAGCATTCAAATTATTTTGTTGAAAGGAAAGGCATTTAGGTCTGTATAAGTTATCTTACTGTTGTCATGCGGAGCTCTGCTCAAGTGCGTCTGCTCTCCTCGGTAGCCCAACCGGACGAGAGTACTCCAGCACTTCTGATTAATCTAACATTGGAAGCATGGTAGAGGAAGGTATGGAACGTAGCCTTAAATGATAAACTAACATTGGAAATGAGGGTATTCAGGGGGGAAATTAACAGATCGGATTTTGAGGCATACTGGTCGGTCTTTATTAAATATGCTTTAGAGAGTGAAAATGGAAAACAATATAACGTTGTTGGTCAGGAATTTGGGATATGACATTTGATTGATGGTTGATTTATAAATATATGGCAAAGGAAAGGATACTTGTTCAGGCATTGGTGGTGGGGCTATGTGTTTGTAAAATGTTCACTGTTTAGTGTTTTGTTTACACTGTAAGTTGTTATGCATGTAAATAAAATCTTTACAAAAAAGTTCTTGTCAGTCAAAGAGATGTATAAAAGTTCAGATTCACATAGGGCTGTGAACTCTTTTGAGGAAAAGTGGAACATAAATATAATAAATTCATTGTGATCAACTCGTGGGTATAATAATAATAATAATAATAATAATAATAATAATAATAAATATTTCAGTAATTATTCATTTTTTGAATATTTGAAATAAAGCTTTCATCCATTTCCATATATTTCCTCAGATAAAATCATCAAGGAGATTGAAGATGTTGTGGGCTCCTCTAATATCTGCTATGATGACCACAAAAGACTGCCTTATACTCATGCAGTGATTCATGAAATCCAGCGTTACAGATATCCCATGCTGGTAGGAATCGCAAGGCAAGCTACCAGAGATGTCCACATGAGAGGCTACATCATCCCAAAGGTACAGATGGAAGTTTTAGTTGCATTCTGTATCCCAAGAACAAAGATGTTCGAAGGATGTCATTTTGAGAGATGTATCCACAGTGAGAGAGAGAGCTAGCCTGGGATAATAGTGTTGGAATGTGATTCTGGAGACCAGGATCAAATCACCAATTGACCATGGAAATCCATTGGGTGACTTTGGCAAGTTTCACGCAGAAGAAGAAAAGGCAAATTTCCTCTAAACAAATCTTTCCAGAAAGACTCCATGACTGATGTGAGCCTTCAAGTTGTTTCCCAATTATGGGGACCCTAAGGTGAACTCATCATGGGGGTTTCCTGCTCGGATTTGTTCAGAGGAAGCATGTATTTGACTTTTTATGTGGTTTCAGTTTTGGCTATCATAGCATATCTGCCTTGCCATGTGAAAGCTCAGTTCATTTTGTTTCTTTCCCATGTCCTGTACATTCATGTCGTGATATCGAAGACATCTAAGTGATACCTGCTTTCTCATTAAATCCATTGGATGGTTCATAACTATTTGTCCATAGCTTGTTCCAGGGATCTCCCGGTATCAGGGCTAAGGTCTTTTTAAACCAAAGCAAGGTACGCCAAGACTATATTATAAAGAAAATTAAAGTATTTCAAGGTTTGTCCAAAATATCAGAATTGCAGTACACAGCTGAAGTAACAATAAATACAAGTCAAGGTCAAGAGTCCAAGTAATGCAGACAAGCCAAGTACTGTAGAGCCAGGTCAGGTGCAAGAACAAACAGTAGCCAAGGGTACAGTCCAATAGTTAGAAGCCAGGACATCACCTATCAGAATTCATAAAGCAAGACTAAAAGTCAAGAGTACAAACCCGAAGTGAGAGTTCTGAAGTCATGCCAGATAGTTAGGGGTACAAATGGAAGTCCAAGTCCACAAATCAAACCAGGAAGTCAAAATTCAGAGTCAAGGATTCAGGTCTGGATCAGGATTACGGGAGCCAAGGTCAGAGTTCATTATTCTACCCAGGGGCAGTAGAGTCAAGATCCAGGACTAGGGTACAAAAGGTGCATCATTATCTGCTGCCAAAGAGCTATTCTTTTCCAGATACCATTATCATGAGATCTCAGCTACTGCTCATTTCAGCAAGTCTGTACAGATAATCACAGGAGCCTGTGATGCTTTCCTCAGATTAACCCCTTCCAAGATTGCTCCAAATACTGGAAGAGTCAATCTCTGCTAGAGCCCTCCACAACCTTTGGTGCTCCAGATGTTTTGGACTTCAGCTTCCACAATCTATATATATAAATTTGTTAGGGGCATCCAACGAGGAAACAAAACTCAAAACCCCCCCAACGAAACTTAACCAAAATTCCCATGCCCATAACACAACCCACAAGGTACAAACATATCTACTCAAAATGAAAAACAACACAACAACACACTCACAAAACGGCAAAACAACAAAACTCAAAAACCCCAACGAAACTTAACCAAAATCCCCATGCTCATAACACAACCCACAAGGTACAAACATATCTACTCAAAATGAAAAACAACACAACAACACACTCACAAAACGGCAAAACAACAAAACTCAAAAATCCCCCAACGAAACTTAACCAAAATCCCTGCCCATAACACAACCCACAAGGTACAAACATACCTACTCAAAATGAAAAACAACACAACAACACACTCACAAAACGGCAAAACAACAAAACTCAAAAATCCCCCAATGAAACTTAACCAAAATCCCCGTGCCCATAACATAACCCACAAGGTACAAACATACCTACTCAAAATGAAAAACAACACAGCAACACACTCACAAAACGGCAAAACAACAAAACTCAAAAATCCCCCAACGAAACTTAACCAAAATCCCCGTGCCCATAACACAACCCACAAGGTACAAACATATCTACTCAAAATGAAAAACAACACAACAACACACTCACAAAACGGCAAAACAACAAAACTCAAAAATCCCCCAACGAAACTTAACTAAAATCCCCGTGCCCATAACACAACCCACAAGGTACAAACATACCTACTCAAAATGAAAAACAACACAACAACACACTCAAAAAACGGCAAAACAACAAAACTCAAAAATCCCCCAACGAAACTTAACTAAAATCCCCGTGCCCATAACACAACCCACAAGGTACAAACATATCTACTCAAAATGAAAAACAACACAGCAACACACTCACAAAACGGCAAAAGAACAAAACTCAAAAAAAACCCAACGAAACTTAACCAAAATTCCCATGCCCATAACACAACCCACAAGGTACAAACATATCTACTCAAAATGAAAAACAACACAACACACTCACAAAACGGCAAAACAACTGAGCATGCGCATTGGCGCCCAGCCGCAAGTTCCATCGCGCGCGCACATGGCCTTCCGGCCAACGTTCCCTCTGCGGAAACCATGCCCACTCCAAGCCCCGCCGCGCCGCTTCCCGCACACACACACACCCTGCCGCACACACACACGCAACCCCACGCTCCATCACTCCCCCCGCCGCCGCACACACACACGCAACCCCACGCTCCATCACTCCCCCCACCGCTGCACACACACGCAACCCCACTCCCCCGCCGCACACACACACGCAACCCCAGGCTCCATCACTCCCCCCGCCGCCGCACACACACACGCAACCCCACGCTCCATCACTCCCCTGCCCCAATCTTACCTCCTTTTACTTCAGGCCACCTCCAAACCCCACCCCGCCCCTTCCCGCCCTGTCAAAATCTAGGAAAGACAGGAAGGAAGGAAAGAAGGAAGAAAGAGAAAGGGAGGTAAAGAAAAAGGGGGAAGGAAGGAAAGTTAGGGAAAGGGAAGAAGAAAAGGAAAGAAAAGGAAAGATGGAAGAAAGAAAAGAGAGACAGAGAGAGAAAGAAAGAAAAGGGAAGGAAGGAAGAGAAGAGAAAGAGAGGAGAAGGAAAGAGGGAAGGGAGGAAGGAGGAAGGAAGGAAGGAGGAAGGAAGGAAGGAAGGATGGAGAGGGAGAGGAGAGGAGGGAGGGAGGGAAAGAAGGAGAGAAAGAGGGAATGGCCACAGCAACACGTGGCGGGTAAAGGTTGTTATTTCTATTATTATTATTATGCTATTGTTCCTATGAGACCCTTTTAGGGGGAATGGGAGAGGTGTCAGGTCCCAGAGGCAATGCATTGCATTATTGTTATTGTTATGATGGTGGTGAAATAAAAGGAAATAAAAAGTGAAAGAAGGAAGCAAACAGGGAGGGAAGAAAGGCAAAGGAAGAAAGGGGGAGGGAATGAAGGAAAGAGAGAAGGATGAAACCAAGTAGTGAAAGAAGGAAAGAAAGAAAGAGGTAGAGAAGGAAGAAAGTAGAGAAAGGGGGAGGAAAAGGGGGAAGGAATAGGTAGGGACCTCTCTTTCATAATAGTCCAGATATCTACCTCAACTTTGATAAGTTTTACTATAGGCCACAGCAACGCGTGGCAGGGCACAGCTAGTTAATAATAAAACTTATTTATATTCCACCTCATCTCCCTGGAGGGACTCAGGGTAGACTGGATGAGATTTCTGGGGGTTGAAGTCAAAAGCAAGTGGAGGACCAAAGATTGGGAAACACTGAGTTAGATGAATGATGTAATATAACCATCATATAATTAGGTGAGTGTAGATTTGCAGTATGGAAGCATCTCAGCAACTGCAAAATACATGGTTAGGCTATGATAGGCTCTCAGGCAGACTATTTCCACTGAATCTCAGTTCGAAGGGAGAGATGTGTGTGTGTTTACTTGTCTGCTAATTGTTTCTTTCTTTCAGGGGACATACATTGCACACAATCTACGCTCTGTTCTTCTTGATGATGAGTACTGGGAAACTCCACACAAATTTAATCCCAACCATTTTTTGGACAAGGATGGAAATTTTGTCGCTAGAAAAGAATTTCTGGGATTTGGTACAGGTAAAAGTACTGGATGACCTCAAGCAGTTCACAGACTCTCAATATCAGAGGAAAGCAAAGGCAACCCAATCCCTTCAACAAATCTTGCTCAAAAATCCCCAATATTGGTTAGCCTCAGGGTTACTGTATGTCATCATCATCATCATATTTAATTACTTATTAATCTCCCTCCATCCGAGAATGCTCTAGGCGATTTATAGCTAAATTGTAAAAGATAAAATACATACATACAGAAAATTAACAGAGATCGAATGCTCTAGTAAAAAGCCAGGTCTTAAGTGCTAGAGTAAAAGGCCCTAAGTCACGCATGGCTCTCATATAGGATGGCAAGGAATTCCATAAGGCAGGGGCAGAAATAGAAAAAGCCCTGTGTCTGGTACTTTCCAAGTGCACTTCTCTAGGACCCGGTATATAGAGTAAGTCACGTTGGGCTGGTCGTTGCGACCTCCGATGATGGTAGAAGGAGAGGCGGTCCCTAAGGTACGATGAACCCTGGCTGTAAAGAATTGATTTGAAGACACATGATATAGCGAAATTTAGACTGACCCTAAGTTGAATGTGTTAACGACCGAATGTTCTTGTTGGGTATTACTGCCACCACCTCAGAATTATTGGTCTGAGGGACCAAAGTTGTGAATGTGTTTTAGGTAAGGGGTGTTTGTGCCCTTGTTCTTCTATGGCTTCCTCACTGGCTGACTGGACTTTAAAATGGTTTGACAGAGTGAGTTCTGAGGCGATTAATAGACTGAGGCATACACCAGTAAACTAAGAATGGTTTATTGAACTTTATATTAACAATAACTCATAGAAATGAGTGGTACAGAAGTGTGATTCAGTTGCAGAAACTTGGTTACTCAAACAAATAGTTCCCCTGACAGAAAAGCTTTTAAAACTGTGAGTTCCCTAAAACACACTGCTCTATCCTTAGAAACAGTGTCAACTGGAGAACAGACTCCTATCTGTCTCCACCACAGGGCAGTAAGCTCCCTTATACTATCCCAAGTATAAGGAGACAAATCTTTCTTTTACTGGCTCTCACAACGCAGTAAAATCCTAGCCTTTGTCTCAGCCTATTCCCTAAACTTAAGGCTCACTAAAAGCTCTTCCTTTTCTGTCAGATCCCTGCTCTATCTAGCTTCCTCTCCTAAAAATCCCTTCCTTCTCTCTCCCTTGTCAAAACACTTCTCTCCCTCTGTCAAAAGCTGACAGCTTATTTCCCTCTCTCAACCGACTCCTCCCCCAATTGCTATACCCAATCAGGAGTCGGCTTGACTCCTCCTCCTGTCCTGCCTGCCTTCCAAGATGACAGCCACTGTCATGCAGGCTTCGGCCTAGTCGACTGAAAGGTAGATTTCATCACACATGACAACAAGAAATTAGCTTATGTATGGGTGAGTATTTCAGGAAGGTTTTGGAATAAAATCTGACCTATAAAGAACCAAGTACTGTGATTATCGCCTGCTGTTGGGGCACCGTTAAATAAAATGATGCTGAAAGATACCAGCCTCTGTTAGTTGACCTCAAATGATGGAGAGTTCACCACCCTCCTGTTCCACTCCTGAGAAGCTTTTACAATCAATATGTTATTCCCAATGTTTAGGCAGAAACCCTTCTCTTGTAACTTGCATTTGATGGATTACTTGAGAGGGTGGAAACCTAATAGGATGAACCTCATGACTGTAATGTAGAAATAGACCACACAGGAATGGAGGGGGTGTAACACTTTATGTCCTGGATGTTTAAAGATATGAATATATCCATTACATAAATGCTGGAAGCCAGGTTAAGAGCACCAGGGTAAAAATTAAGGGGGAAAGAAACTACTTGGATATCATTGTGGGAGTCTACTACAGGTCTCAACCAAACTGAGGATTTGGATGGTGCCTTACTGGAACAGAAAGGGGAGGTGTAATAATAATGTGAGATTTTAACAATTTGGATATTTGTTGAAAGACAAATATCAGGTCCAAAAATTCTTCACTTTCCTTGCAGAAAATTTCATAATCCAGAAGATGGAAAGGGCAACAAGGGGATCAGCTATTTTAGATCTGATCCTAACCTACAGTGATGATCTTGTAAATAATGTGGAAGTGATGAGTTTTTAGGCAGGAATGGCCATGCTCCTCTATGGAAAGGGCTTTTTGGTTATGTGTATAGAATAAGGAAGAACAAAGAAATGATAGTGCCACCACATACAGGTTCTGGTGAACTGTTAACAGTGGACAGAGAAAAGGGAGAACTACTGGAGACTAGGAGACTAGGACACGGAACAATGGCTTCAAACTACAAGAAAGGGGATTCCATCTGAACATGAGGAAGAACTTCCTGACTGTGAGAGCTTCAGCAGTGGAACTCTCTGCCCCGGAGTGTGGTGGAGGCTCCTTCTTTGGAAGCTTTTAAAAAGAGGCTGGATGGCCATCTGTCAGGAGTGATTTGAATGCAATATTCCTGCTTCTTGGCAGGGGGTTGGACTGGATGGCCCATGAGGTCTCTTCCAACTCTTTGATTCTATGATTCTACTCAACACCTTCTTTACTGCACTCCTCTCCCAAAAGGTTAAAAGTACTAAACCTGGGCATAATTGATCCGATGATGCAATAGGGGGAATATATTATTGAATGGGTCAAGAGACAGTAGAGGAATGTCTGGTTAATCTAAATAACTTCAAGTGCCAGGACCAGATGAATTACTCTCAAGAATTCGCATTAGAGGCAATGCAGCATTTTAGATAAAATGGTCTGAAAGCTAAGCCTGACGAGGGGCAACTTAGGTTTATATTTAGCCTGGGGAAGATACAATAAGAGGGTCATGACAGACGTGTTTAAATATTAGAAAGGATGTCACATTGAGATGCAAGGTTGTTTTCTGCTGCTCTAGATATTAGGACATGGAGTAATGAATTCAAATTGCTGGAAAAAAGATTCCACTTAAACACTAGAGGGAACCTCCTGAAGGTAAGAGTTATTTAACAGTGGAATATACTTTTTGGAGTGTGGCAGAGTCTTCTTCTCTTGAGGTTTTTAAACAGAAATTGGATAGCCATTTGTCAGGAGTCCTTTGATTTTTTTTAAAGTTTTTTAGATTTTTAAAAATGTACATACATTAACAACCTACAGTGCAAGCACATTTATTTATGTATTTATAGGGGGGACTCAGGGCAGCTTACAAAAGGCACCATTCGATGTCCAACAATTCACAAAATACAGTATACAAATTACAATATAGCGACAACAGTTATAACTAATTAAAACAATCAAATCAATACAATAGCAGCAGTAAAATCATCTTGCGGTCAATGTTCGCCAATTCATAAATCCATAATCCATTCCGCATTGTCATTGTCCTTTCCTACTCTGGTCGTCATTGTCTTTTATCCATCTGCCAGCTTACCCGAAGGCCTGGTCCCATATCTAGGTTTTTAACTTCCTTCTGAAAGAGAGGAGGGATGCTGATGAAAGAGAGGAGGGATGTTGATGACCTAATTTCCCCAGGGAGTGCATTCCACAGGCGAGGGGTCACCACCGAGAAGGCCCTGTCCCTCGTCCCCACCAGTCTCACTTGTGACAAAGGTGGGGCCGAGAGCAGGGCCTCCCCAGAAGATCTTAAACTCCGAGGTGGTACGTAGAAGGAGATACGTTCGGACAGGTACGCTGGGCCGGAGCCATAAAGGGTTTTGTAGGTAAAACCAGCACTTTGAATTGTGCTCGGAACTGGATCGGCAGCCAGTGGAGCTGACATAACAGTGGGGTGGTATGATGCTCTGGTGAGTAATCTAGCCGCTGCCTGTTGGACTAATTGACGTTTCTGAACAGTCTTCAAAGGCAACCCCGCGTAGAGTGTGTTGCAGTAATCTATTCGGGATGTAACAAGAGAGTAGACCACTGTGGCCAGATCCAACTTCCCAAGGTACGGGCGCAGCTGGCGCACAAGTTTTAATTGTGCAAAAGCTCTCCCCGCCACCGCCGAGACCTGGGGTTCCAGGCTCAGCGATGAGTCCAGGATCACTCCCAAGCTGCGAACCTGCGTCTTCAGGGGGAGTATAACCCCGTCTAACACAGGCTGTAACCCTATGCCCTGTTCGGTCTTATGACTGACCAGTAGGACCTCTGTCTTGTCTGGATTCAGTTTCAATTTGTTAGCTCTCATCCAGTTTGACACAGCGGCCAAGCATCGGTTCAAGGTCTGGACAGCCTCCTTGGTAACAGGTGAGAAGGACTGACAGATTTCGACATCATCTGCGTAGAGATAACAACTCAGTCCGAAACTCCGGATGATCTCTCCCAGCGGCTTCATGTATATGTTAAACAACATCCGGGACAGAATTGATCCCTGTGGGACCCCACACAACAATGGTTGTGGGGCCGAACAGGTGTCACCCAGTAACACCTTCTGGGACTGTCCCTCGAGAAAGCAGTACTCCCAAGTCCCATGTCCTCGAGGTGTCCCAGAAGGATACCGTGGTCAACGTTATCGAAGGCCGCTGAGAGGTCCAGCAGAACTAACAGGGACATACTCCCCCTGTCAAGCTCCCGGCGAAGATCATCTACCAAGGCGACCAAGTCTGTCTCAGTTCCATGTCCTGGCCTAAAGCCAGACTGTGCCGGATCTAGATAATCAGTGCCTACCAGAAATGCCTGGAGTTGTGTTGCCACCACACATTCCACGACTTTGTCCAAATAGGGGAGATTGGAAACTGGCCGATAGTTGTCGAATTGGGTGGGGTCCAGTGATGGCTTTTTCAACAGCGGTTTTATAACAGCTTGTTTTAAGCTCGCTGGAAACTTTCCTTCCTTTAAGGAGGCATTAACCACCACCTTTACCCACTCAGCCAATCCCCCTCTGACTTCTTTTATCAGCCAGGATGGGCAGGGGTCTAGGATGCATGTGGTAGGTCTCACTTCTCCAAGGATCCTGTCCACATCCTCAAGCTGAACCAATTGAAATGAATCCAATAAAACCGGACAAGCAGGTTATGTTACATCCTCAGATGCTCATGTTACATTCTCAGCCACTGTTAACATGGCGTCGAAGTCAGACTGGATCAACGCAACTTTATCCGCAAAGAAATGAGCAAATGCTTCACAGCGAGCCACCGAGTCATCAGGGATCTTGCTCTTCGGCAGATTTAATAGTCCTCTGATGACTCGGAATAGTTCAGCTGGACAGTTCTTTGCGGATGCAATATTGGCAACAAGAAATAATTTCTGTGCCGCCGCTATTGCCATGTCGTAGGACCTTAGAAAGGTATTCAGACATGGTTGGGTTGATTTGGTAGGCTTCTGACACCACACACACTCTAGCCTCCTCTTCTTTCTCTTCATCGCTGCCAGCTCCTTAGTGAACCAAGGAGCAGGTTTAGCTCGGTTTAGCATCGACAGAGTCACTAACCAAGGAGGTGGGAAATTCCCCAAGAGCCATCAAGAAACCATTAGGATCCATAAGTCTCCTGGGGCGGACCGTTCTAATGGGTCCACCACCCCTGCGGAGGGTAAGAGGCACAGTGAGTATAAACCTGATCAGGTGGTGATCGGTCCATGGCAATGGAGCGATGGTCAGCTCCTCCACTCCGTCACCTTCATCCCATCTCTGGCAAAAAACCAAGTTCAATGTGTGCCTGGCACTATGGGTGGGACCAGATACTAATTGGGACAGGCCCATGGTTGCCATGGCGGCCATGAAGTCCTGAGCCGCACCTGAAGGAGGGGCCTCAGCATGAACATTGAAATCTCCCAGGACTAAAAGCCATTGGGAGTTCAAAGCCAAGTCCGAGACCACTCCTGCTAGCTCAGGTAGGGAGACTGTTGTGCAGCGGGGTGGTTGGTACACTAACAGAATCCCTATCCTGTGCTGGTCACCAATCCTAATGCCGATACACTCAGAAGAAGATGACTGTGGGATGGGGCACCTGATCAGGGAGATAAAATACTTATAGACCACCGCGACTCTGCCTCCACGCCCTCCAGGTCTTGGTTGGTGCTGCACAGAATAACCTGGCGGACAGAGTTGAGTGAGGTTCACCCCTCCCCCCTCGTATAGCCAGGTCTCTGTGATACAAGCAAGGTCAGCTTGTTCTTCCAGGATTAGATCTTGAAGTTTTCCCATTCACTGACCTTGCACTGAACAGCACCACTTTTAACCTGGAGGGACCACCATTCTGGCACCTCAGCTGTACCTTGTCAGGAGAGTGTTTGGGTGTTGCCAATCTGTCCTTATCAATTTTGCTTCGAATAGGTTGTTTGGTTGCATCATGAATGATTTTTGGAATTGTCAATATTCTATTGTAAATTTTGGGCCAGAATTGTTGTTTATTTGTATTTTTGGAAACTGCCAGTGTGTTGTTATAGAATTTGGACCGAATTAGATGTTTTGTTCTCCCTTTCCCGTGTCTCCCTCTACCTGTCACCACCTCTATGGCGGTCCCCCTGCCTGCAGAACCCTCCCCCCGAAAATACTCCCCCCTCCCCTCTCCATTCCTGTTCTTTTTGTTGACTCTTGATAGCAGTCATTTGTATAATTATCTATGGTTGGACCCCAGCTTTTCCTCCTCTCTGCATCTCCTGATCTCTCCAGTATTCCAGGTTATAAAGTGCACTTGCGCAGTAATAGGTGGAAACAGATAGTATAAATAGTAGACAGTTAAAAATAAAGTGCTGATAGTTGTCAACCTTCTAAATGAAGCTAAGTGCTAGTGTCGGGCCTTCGAACAAATGTCTAAAGTGCTAATGTAACAACAACTTAATCACAGATAAATGATTTGGGCCCAGTTAATGGCAGGGGCTCTGGCAGAATAAAAGGAAGATCTCATAAAGTTCTCTAGGCTAAAGTGACATAGTGCTGGAACAACTCAGAGTTGATGTCTTCTTAAGTTAAAGCCACACCCAGTCAAAGGGGCCAATTTAAACACAAGGCGTCCAGCTTCCTGGATCCGTGGAATACAAGCCAGCATCCACTGGCCAGACCCCCTGGAGTCCTCTTGACTGTCCAAGGAAAAGGCGCGGTAATACTCACGAAAAGATGATAAACTCATATAATGAAGACAGTCGTTGATATTACAGTCACAAATTGCCAGTGAGCTTACCAGCTGTGGGGCTAATGTTGTTTACACAGTATGCTTCCAGCAGAGAGGGCAGTATGGGATGGAAGTTGGCTATTCATTAACCGCACATGCAACAACATACAACCTATCACACATACAACAACACAAGACACACACACACATGCAGACAACTAAAATTATAAAAGATGGTAAGGGGCAGCAGCTGCAAAAGCTCAAAACAATGAAGGGGGCTTTTCTTTCTCCCTCCCAGTGATGAAGTGATTCCTGTTCTCCTTTCTCCCCCCACCTCTGATATGAAGGTGGGAGAGTGTTCTCCCAAGCAGCCCGGTCTTCTTGGCTTGACACAGTGGCGACAGCAGCGGGTCCCAAAAGGCCTGGTGACAGTCGGCAGCGGCGACGGCAGCGGGCCCCAAAAGGCCTGGTGATAGTTGGCAGCGGTGATGGTGGAGGAGGACCTGGTGCGGCTTGCTCTTCCTCTGCAGCACTCACCACAGCAACGGCAGCGATGGATGGCCAGCTGTATTTATCTTTCCGCGGTGGCAGCAATGATGGTCGGCCTGTCACCGCTCAGGCCTCCATGACAGCGAACAACGGTGGTGGCGACAGCGGTGGTGGCTGGCCTTTGTGAAAAATGGTGGCGGTATCAGCAGGATGGTGGTCGTCCTGCCGCAAATCAGCCTTTCGCAGGATGCAAACAGCGACAACGCCGGTGGCAGCAGCGGCCTGCTACGGCCTGGCCTTCCGTGGAGCCGAGGTGTTAGTGGCTAGGGCAATGGGCGGGCTATCGTAGATTAGGCTGCCCGTCAGAAGGCCAGCGGCGGCGGCTGCCGTGACCAAGGATGGCTGCCACAGCCTGCCCACCGGGTCGAGATGATGGTTAACTCAAGGCAGTAATCGACCTACCGCTGAGCCACCCTCCTCTAAGAACAGGGATCGATGGTAGCTGCAGTCACGGCCGTAGGAACCCGCTTGTGGTTTGCTCTTTCTGCTTGCCACCCGCTTTCCACGCTGGCAGTGGCGGCAGCGGCATCTTCCTCTCAGATCCCGTGTCAGAGGAGAACAGGGACAGGATCGGAATCCCGGAGGCAACGATGGCTCAAAGAAACCCTTGGATGGTAAGGGGCTTATGCCCTCCTGGCTGGGGTACGTTGGAGCTGCCCTTGGGGGAGGATTTCAGATGTAAGATTTCCTCCGGAGCTGCTGTAGATTGTTATTGCTGCTCCGCCATCTTACACATAACCCCACCACCAAGTATCCTTTCCTTTGCCATATATTTATAAATCAACCACCAATCAAATGTCACACCCAACATTCCTAACCAAGAAGGTTATATTGTTTTCCATTTTCACTCTCTAATGCATATTTAATAAAAACTGATGAGTATGCATCAAAATCTGATCTCTTAGTTTCCCCCCGAATACCCTCATTTCCATTGATAGTTTATCATTTATGTCTACGTTCCATACCTCCCCATACCATGCTTCTGGTGTAAGATTAGTTACTATTTTCCAATTCCTTGTGATTGTGAAATACCTGGGAGTCACTCTGGACCGTGCTTCGACCTACAAGATGGGTGCTAGAAACAATAGCATACGAAAGCTGACTGGCACAACCTGGGGATCACAACGAGACACAGTGAAGACATCTGCCCTTGCACTATGCTACTCTGTTGCTGAGTATGCATGCCCAGTGTGGAACACATCTCACCACACAAAAACAGTGGATGTGGCTCTTAATGAGACATGCCGCATTATCACGGGGTGTCTGCTCCCTACACCACTGGAGAAACTACACTGTCTAGCCAGTGTTGTGCCACCTGACATCTGCCGGGAAGTAGCAGCCAATAGTGAAAGAACCAAGGCAGAGACATCTCCAGCTCATACCTCATTTGGGTATCAGCCAGCATGTCAACGACTTAAATCAAGAAATAGCTGGAACACCTCAGCAAGCGAGAGTCCTAAAGTGGCAGGTTCAAACCAGAACCTCAATCAATGGCTTATACCCAATGAGAGACTCCTCCCTGGGCACACAGAAAACTGGGCGGCTTGGAAGGCGCTGAACAGACTGCGGTCTGGCACCACGAGATGCAGAGCCAACCTTAAGAAATGGGGCTACAAAGTTGAATCCACGACATGCGAGTGTGGAGAAGAGCAAACCACTGACCACCTGCTGCAATGCAACTTGAGCCCTGCCACATGCACAATGGAGGACCTTCTTGCGGCAACACCAGAGGCACTCCAAGTGGCCAGATACTGGTCAAAGGACATTTAATCAAATACCAATCTTGCAAACTCTGTGTTTTTGTAGGCATGTTTGTTTGTTCTGTTAAAAATGTAATACAACTGTTCGGTTGTCTGACACAATAAATAAATAAATAAATAAATACTAAAGGCTTCAGTACTTTAGACCTGTTTTCTGAATATATTTGTTCTATTATATGTTGAAAACCCTGTCCAAAACCATATTTTTAATTAGTGATTTCAACACTATCCAACCCACCCAGTCAAAGGCTATACCAATGCAATAAATGCCTACTTGAGCTTTCTCATTTTTGGCACTCTATAATGTTTATCAGTCTGTAGACAAGTCAGTGGCAGAGTCCCCATCTCTTGAGGTTTTTAAACAGAAATTGGATAGCCATTTGTCAGGTGTCCTTTGATTTTGTGACATGGGCTTACCCATTGGGGCCTCTTCCAACTGCATGGTTCTATCATTCTATGATCAATCCATATGCATTTATAGTCTATTTTTCCGCTTCATCCTTATTTGCTCAATTGAATATATACTCATCCCCTGCCTTTGTCTCCCCATGCAGGGCCTCGGTCGTGCTTGGGGGAAAATGTGGCCAGGATGGAGCTATTTATCTTCTTGACCCGCCTGCTGAGGTTATTCCATTTCCAGCCTCCTCCAGGAGTCAAGAAATTCACTGAAGAACCTGCAAAGGGCGCAACATTGCCACCCCACCCTTATAAAGTGTGTGCTATTCCTCGCAATAGTTAATCATAAAACATTCAAGAATAATTACAGCGACTTCTTATTCATTGCTGTATATTTAAAGCAAAATTTCCCCTTCAATTAATTTGATGTTCCCAGACCTCTTCTCTACCTCTAGAACCTCTAACAAATCTGTGACATGGCTCAATGCTAAATTAATTTTGTTTCATTCTGTTGAGTGTTATTGTACCTATTGCTCAAATGAAAGAATTCTTGCTATGGATGGATATAGGGGAACTAACAGTGCAGTGAATGGAGGGTTGGACGAGTTCTACTAAAAGTTTCAAATCCTCCTTTAGCTATGGAAATACACTGAGTGATGTTGCGCAAGCCATGTTTTTTCAGCCTGGAGGCATAGACAGAAAAGGGCCTCTGAAGCAACCTTGTGAAATCCCAAGGCGCATGAAGAAACACAAAAGCCCACAGTACTGATTCAGTGGGAATCTTCTAGCTGCAACAAGATCTATGTCTAGATCACTGTATTTATCGGCACTTGATAATAACATTTCCATGGGCGGCCCATGTGGTTGGCTACCTATCAAAAGGGTAAAATTATGAATACAGCCAGGTCAGAGGCCGAACCTAGGCACAAGAGGCTTGATTTCCACATTCTTGTCCACCTTGGTCAACATTTTCTGCATATGTTCTAGCTTGTCAATGTCCTCCTTCATCTGTGTTGTCCAGAAATAGACACATAATTCCTGGTGCAGTTTGACCAAAGCAGAAGATAGTGGCACTAATTCCTCCCTTGATTTGAACACCCTATTGATGTAACCCAGAATCTCATGAGTGCATCCTGACATGGAAGACACCGGCATCAACTAGGAGTAGATCGTCATTTCATTTAGATCACTTTATCTGTTCCAAGGTGTATTTGGAGAAACAAGTGGAGACTGAAATTTCAATTCCCTTGATGAGCTTGTTGGGGCTTTTATTCTCTATTACCCTACAAGAAGGGAGAGAGGACAGAGGCGCACAGCATAGCATATACAACATCAGCCATGACAATTCATCTCCATCCTTATGATATAAAAGATTCGTAAATTAATTATTCTCACGAAACATCTTTCTTTGTAACCTATTATGTCTCTTTCATCCCTAAAATGTAATCATTTCCTGAATAAACATGTTTTTAGGGGGAAAGCAACAACAGTTTTCTCATTTTTACCTTGTAATAGATAATGTCCGAAACTTGTGGGTTCTTTTGATGTTTTAGTAGAGGCAATATGGGAGAAAAAAGATTCCTGAAGAGATGAAAGGAAGACTGCTCTTGGTTGGCCTAACCTTCTTAACTTCCCTCATTCTTTACATCAGCGCTTTTCTTTTTATCCTTGATTACTTGTTTCCCAATAAAACCCCAATATTTCTGCTTTGAAGTCTAATGGAGAGTGTCAGGAGTTTAACTCCTGCCATGTTTTCTTGAGGCATATCATATATGTGTACATTCATATATTTGTACATTCTTCAGTTCTTTTTATTGTGTACATGATTATAYATYTACTTGAAGAGCTATGCATGCATATATATACTGGATGATGGGTGTTGTCATGTTTTGAAACATGCTGATATTATTTTCTTTAGCAGAGCCTTATTGGGAAAGCTCTCATTAGCTAAGGATGCTCATCAATGTTTAGGACGTTTCTCAGCCAGATAGTTCTCAGCCAGTTAATGAGGGGAAAAGCACTAACGAGTAAATTGACYTTGATGAAGCTGGTTGTTTAGATCGAGCTGATCGGTTGGAATTTAAAGTGCGAAGGAGAGTCAGGATCGCTAGCAGGCGAGGGAGTCATAGGAACGCCTTCAYGTTGCCCAAACAATATTAAACGCTACAGGCTGTTTGAGTGTGCCTCAGCATCAGAGCAACTTACTGCTTTAACCAAGAGAGTTTGGATTTATCTTGCAGCTTTCATGTTCATGTTTAGGACTTTGYCATGTTCTCATGGGACTTTGCCTTGCCTGTGTCTTCATGGATCTTGTTTGCCTATGTTACCTTGGATTGATCTTTTAAAATATGCTTTTGCCTTTTTGAACTTTTTATCTTTTACTATAATAAACCATAAAGACTACTGCTGGTGTGTTCTTTGGTGTCCTAAGCAAAGTGTCTCTACTCTGAGGTGCGACAGTGGGAACATCTGACTTGCATGACAAACAGAGAGTTCGACGTCCTGTGACAGCAACCACCAAATTTCACAAGCAAAAGGTTGACAGATTGATTCAGGATAATCATATCACTCAGAGAGAAATTTAAAGCATAATCAGCATTTCACAAGAATGTGTGGGTCACATTATTGCTTTGCTTGGCTATCCGAAGATCTGTGCATGATGGTACACAGCAGAACTTCAGAGACTGGATCTCACCACTGTACGGCATCCTCCATACAGTCCAGATTTAGCACCACCTGACTTTGATCTGTTCCCAATGATGAAAGATCTTCGGGGACATCATTATACTTCTGATGAAGATGTTGAGAGAACTGTGAGACGCTGGTTGTGGAAACAGAGTGTCAACTTCTTCTGTGACGGCTTGAGAAAACTTGTTGGAGGAAATGTATCCAATTGTCTGGTGATTATGTGGAAAAATGAATATTGGTAGTTAAAGAGCACATTCTTTTTTTAAAAAATAATTTTTATTGAACATTTTAGACATCAACACAAGGAAAGAGGGGGAACAATACTATAGAAGATAGAAAAGTAGGAAACCCAATCACCAAAAAAAAAAAAAAAGAGAGGGAAAAAAAGAAAAAGAAAAAGGCCAAAAGGCCTAAAAATAAAAGAGAAAAAAGTCCAAAAAACACGCACACCTCAACAGTTCTAAAATGACTTCCACTCCAGCCTCAGGATCTTCTCTAGATACTTCTTGGTCTAACCTATGTGTTCTTAGCCTCTATTGTTGTTCTATTTTTTTTCATAGTCATAAAAAATGGTCCAATCTGTCCTTTTTATCGATTTTCCGGTATTTTTCCTCATCAAAAAAGTTAGTTCATTCATATCTCTTATTTCTTTAACCTTATGGTGATTATGTGGAAAAATGAATATTGGTAGTTAAAGAGCACATTCTAAGGATTATTTCTGAGTTTGATTTATTAAAATATTTCCATCCAAACCCAAGTAACAAAGGTAGAGGCATTACTTTTCATTCAACCCTCATATTATCTGAACTATGGTTTCTACCTCCTGAGAACTTAGGTCCCTTCTACACTGCCATATAAAATCCAGATTATCTGCTTTGAGTTATATGTGTAGACTCGTATAATCCAAAGAAGATAATGTGGATTATATGGCAGTGTAGAAGGGGCCTGAGAAAGCCTGTACTTAACAGAGGGAGAGATGGCCAGGCTCTTCCTTCCCCTCAGAATTTGAATAGACGTTATCCAAAAACTCTTTCTTAAATGAACTATGGAACATTAAAAGCAATGAGAGTGCAATGCTTTGAACTTCCTAGCCCATACCCGGGTGAGGCATGTCAAGCACATATAGCAGCAGTGACAGATTTAGGATAAATAAGGCCCCGTGCTAGTTAAGTTATGAGGCCCCTGACTTGGGCCCTGAAGGAGGTTGGCCTGGTAGGTCTACACTGCCTGCTTTGTGGCACACTCCCATACATCATCAACTCCATCATTATGTCTGGAATCGCTCTGAAACAGAACACCTTCAAATTTAGAAGTACACCCTATAAGATAAAGTCTATTGTAAAAATAATTTTGTTAAGAAGATGGGGCCCCTGGCCAACAGGGCCCTGTGCTTAAGCAGATGTAAGGACAGTGGTAAATCTGGCACTGTATAGCACTGTATAGCAGTCAACAGTACAAGTAGAAAATAAGGGGTTCATTCTCTATAGAGAGACCGAGGTTGAACTTGCCTGCCCACCCACTCACCTTTACAACTCCATCAGCTACTATTTTTGAATCTCCCCCTTGACCTCCTTTTGTATGTGCATCCTAGAACCATTCAATTTGGGAAAATCTATATTGTATCTCTCTCAATGTTATGAATTTCAGCTAGGATCACAGATAGAGAGTCAGTGCCTGGCGAGCATATGCTAAACCAAATGGGACAGGACAAAAAAAAAACCCAACTCACTTGAAGACAAGCCACAGAGGTTTGATATGATTTGGCCAAAAAGGATGCAAGTAAAAGAAATTTGCTTCAAAAAGTACAAGCATAAGCAAACATACCGAGAAATGCAGGTCATTTTACAAAGTTTGGCAGCTAGACAAACCTCCCACTCCCTCTCCTGGTTGGTTAGGAGACATGCTTCCTAGCCTTCTCATTGGCTAAGACTTCCTCCAACATCACAGACCAGGGTGGAGAGGAAGAGAGAACAGCTGGGCTTTGTGGGGTTCAGGGCCCGCTTCTGAGGGTGTGTGTTCCATCGTCCAGACTGGAAAGAATGGGAATTTCGTACTAATGGGTTTTGGAAGCTTGGAATAATCTCTACATAAAGAGTGAGACTTGGCAAATCAAAAAGTCAATCAAGTGAGGTAAGAAGGTCCTTGATGAGTCCTCAGCCCTGGGGGTCCACTAGAAGAATCTGGGCTGTTTCTCAAGACAGCCAAATAGTCCAAAGTCACATAGTTCTTTTGTAAGCCTCACTGAGTCCTTCGGGAGATGTTAGCAGGGTATAAATACAGTTAATAATAATAAATAATAAGCACAACATAATATGAGCTATGATGTTTGATAAACTAGGGCCTAATGCATCTTGTGCTGGTGTACTCTACATCAGAGGTTTAGTTGTAGAAATAGAATGGTAACATTTTGGAGCTGGCAGTTCGATGATACAAAATTTTGCAACAGTGAAGGAGTTAGGGGACAAGGACACAAACTTCCGCGTGGCATGCGGATTCATCCTGTGTTTCATCGGTCTTTGTTGCGCCCAGCCCCCCGTGTTCGGTTGGATGCTGGTTGGGGTGCTCCACCACCTCCAGTACTGTGTGATGGGGAGGAGGAGTTCAAAGTGGCAGACATTTTGGACTCTCACCAGTTCCGCCACAAGTTACACTGCTTTGTGGACTGGGTGGGCTATGGGCCAGAAGAGCGTTGTTGGGAAGATGCTCGGGATGTGCATGCTTCTGAGTTGGTGGTTCAGTTTCATCAGGTATACCCGGCCAAGCCCGGGCCTCTGGAAGAGGGAGGCTTGGGGGGGGGGGTTTAGGGGGGTTAGTGTTGTGGCTCAGCTTGATGAAACTGCACCCTCTTGTGAGCCTGAAATGTTCCCTGATGAAGAGGATGATGGGATTCAGATTTCTGGGCCTGTCTCTGTGCCTCCTGCAGACAGTGCACCGAAGGAGTCGACAAGTCAGTTTTCATGGGAAAAGAATGCCAACGGGTTAGATAACAACCAGGTGCAGAGACCTTCGGTTTCTCAGCCGTCTCGCACTGATAGAGAAGAGAGCTGTGATAGTGATTTAATGAGCAGGCAGGAACATTTAGATTGGCGGGTCAGGAGGAGTTCAAGGTTAGCCAGCAAGAAAGAAGCTAGGTCGTTGAAAGGTCACCGTAATGCTTTCATGTTGGCAAGAGGGTAATGTTTTCATATTGGCAAAAAGTATTTAGACTTCTCATGTACAGGGGGAAGGTGTCAGTTCAACGTGGCCTTTGGCACGAAAGCTTCTATGGAATAATCTTGGCTCTACAGCAGCACGCTTTGGGCTTCTTGCATTGTGATTCTTGGGGCTTGTGTTTCACTGTTATTACCATGGACTCTGATTTGACCATTGCTTAAAGGATTTTTTTTTGTTCTTACCTGAGGACCTTTGGAACAGTCAGTCAGTCAGTCAATAGCCTTTATTTTGGTCAACAAACCATCGGCTAAGTCAAGTGAAATTAGAATGATGAAATACAACAATTAACAATTAATAACATCACATTTGGCTTATGATCAATGAAAACAAGTATCACCATTCGCTATCAGATGAATGACTGTCTATATAATCTAAAACAGGAACTGATTGCCAATTAATAATAAGTCTCCCGAGTACTCTTTGTTACACTCAGCCTTTACAGGTTATTCATGAAGCACTTGCGGCTTTTTGCCGCTGCAAACAGAAATTTGGCCACCTGTTTCGTTACCTTTTATCAAGATCAGACAGTAAATAAGTGCAGTACCAACTTAGGGTTCTTCCTGGCCACTTGGTAAGTAGAGGAGATATTAACCTTAGTCTATCATCCTTGTAAATTATGCAAATAAAAAGTACTTGTATTACAGTTTCAATTTTACCCTCCTCGCATGGGCAAACTCTGTGTTCATAATCAGTCCCTTTGTATCTACCCTCTAGTATGGCTAATTTGAGGGTATTAAATCTGGCCCAACTGAAACAAGGCGAAATTTTGGGATGTTTAAATTTTCTAAGTATTTGGCACCTCCCAAAGAATTAAATGTTAGGCCTAAACTCAATAGAGAGCATGTGGAGCACGCCAGAGTCATCGAGTCCTGTTTGTCTATGTCACTGATTCGTTCCGCTAAGATCTGCATTATCTTTTAATGCTCAAAACCGCTCAATATATTCTCTGAGAGACCCATCTGCCTGAGTTTCTGATTTAGCGCTTTGATTCGGTGGGATTTAAAGAGGTCTTTTTGAATCAGATATGTATATCCCACTTCAGGCCCTTTGTGCACCCTCTCCATCCAGTATCCTAGGGCCCTTCTCCAAGCCAGTGATTCGAGTGAGGCTGTTCCTGATTCCATTCTTAAAACAGCAGATGGAACACAACTGGGGGCAGCAAACAGTTTTCTGAGAAACCCTGATTGAACTTGTTCTACTTTAGATGTGAAGCCTGTGATCCATACCGGAATTGCATATAATAATTGGGCTGTTACCTTTGCTTGGAAGACCTTTGTTGCTGCTGGTATATACTGGCCACCTTTGGTGTAAAAAAGTGAATTATTGCTTTACTACTGGATAGGGCATTTTGAACTGCCATTTTTTGGTGGCATCCCCAGGAACCTGAAGCTTGAAAGGTAACCCCTAGATATTTAAAACTGGAAACTTGTTCAATTAAGTTCTTTTCTATGTACCAGTTATGCCTGGCTCACTTTTTTGAGAAGA